GTATATATAATAAACTTTTTTATTTTTGTTTTATGTGTTGAGAGTTTGGCTGAAATGTATGCTTGCGTAGCCCATGCATAACTTGTTCCCTTGGGGAGCCAGAAGAGGCTGTCAAATCCCCTGAAACTGGAGTCACTTTGAGTCATGTCGGTGCTGAGAATCAAATCCAAGTTCTTCATAAGGGCAGCAAGTGCTCCTAACTGTTGGGCCACCTCTCCAGCCCACTTGTAGTGGTTTTAAAATATGTTTTTCTTATTTTTCTTAATCTAAAATTATCTTCTAATTTTTTAGGTTTATGAATCATTTAGATGATGGCGATACTAATGACAATTTTTTTTATTATCTCCCTCGCATACTGCTCTCCCCGTTTCCCAGACACAACACTATTAGTTTGATGGATATCTTTCTGAATTTTAAATTGATATGAATATCTAAAACTACAACACCTTAAAGCAAAAATGAGGTTGTGTCCCTGGGAGCTAACCACAGTCTCTGGTCCTTACTGCCTTCTATCTCCTCTTAGCTCTGTAGTCCCCAACAGCCTTACAACCGTCTTCAAAGGAGATGCCTTTCCATTCCCTCAGGCAAAGATAACGCTGAAGCAGGACATAGAGCCTGCTCTGAATCAGGGGGAAGAGCAGTAGGGGTCCAGGCCTGGTTCAGAGAATGGCCTTGCGCTTTCCACATTTCTTTTCAATGTTGTGTTTTCTTCCAAATCATCAGCCTTTTGCACGTGTCGGTTCTGAAGGTTCTTTATCCATTACATCTAACCCCTACTTCTTTATCTTAATGTTCATATGTGTGTGCTCGCACAATCACACCCACGGTGTGCATATGTACATGCATGCAGAACACAGTGAGTCCCTTTTGTAAGGGTTCATATGAGCAATTGGGGCAGCACTAGAGTGGACGTTTCTTGGTCCATTTCCTTCTTACCACTCTATCCTAGTCATTTCACTCTCTGGACTGATATCTTCCTTTTACTGACTCCTCTGCATCTGTTCCCTCTGCATCTGGCTTTTTTTCATTAATTGTCCATCACAGAGTTGCTGTCTTCACTAATTTGTTTGTTGCCGTGATAAATACATTGACTGAAACAGCTTATGGGGGGAAAGGGTTTATTTTGGCTAGTGATTTGAGGATATCGTCCATCACGGACGGGAAGCTATGGCGGCAGGAACTGGAGACAGCTGTCACATTCCATTCACAATCAGGAAGCAGAGAGAAAAGACTGCTGTGGTCCACTGGCTTTCTCATTGTATTCAGTCCAGGACCCTAGATGGCATGGTACATAATAGACAGGTTTTCCCACCTCATTTAGCTTAATTGAGATACTCTGTATTAGTTAGGGTTTTTATTGCTGTGAAGAAACACCATGACCACAGCGAACAATTATAATGGAAAGCATTTAGTTGGGGCTGGCTTACAGGTTCAGAGGTTTAGTCTGGATTATCATGGCTAGAAGTGTGGCAGCATGCAGGCAGACATGGTGCTGGAGAAGGAACTGAGAGTTCTACATCTGGATTGGCAGGCATCAGGAAAAGGCACTGGGCCTAGTTTGTGCATTTGAAACCCCAAAGCCTACCCTTAGTGATACACTTCTTCCAACAAGGGCACACATGTTCCAATAAGGCCACACCTCCTAATTCCACTTCCAAAACATTCAAATATGACTCTACGAGGGGATATTCTATCAAAACCACCACACCAGTATAGGCATGGCCAGGGGATAACCTCATCTAGACAATCTCACATAGCTAATGCCCAGAGGTTTACCTTCTAGGTTATTCTAGATCCTGTCAAATTGATAATCAAATTAACCATCACAGTTATTAAATAATTGACAATGTGTCAAGGGTAGTGTGAGTAAATACAGTTAGTTAGACTTGTTTTAATTCTGACAAAAAATAATAGCCCTTTCAGCTTACCCAATCCTTCCTATGCTGGTTTGGTTTTTGTCAGTTTGGAACAAACTGGGTCATCAACTGTGAAAATGCTTTCATCAGATTAGTGTGTAGGGGCTGAGTCCTTACGTGGCTTCCAGGGATTGACCTGACCAGGGCAGCAGAGGAATAAAAAATGATAGACACATGGACTCAAGGGCATAGAGGAGCTGGAATCATTTGGACTGGGATCTCTGAAGGAGAAACCACAGCACCCAGGGAGCTAACTGCATTTAGTATATACATTGAATAGGAAGGCAGGATTATTGCTTATAGCTGAATAAAAGTAGGAGCCAACTCTGTAGGGGAGCAGTCTTCAGACTCTAAATATCTGGGGCGAGTCATAGGGGAAGGTTATGGTGGACATTCTCTGCACACACTGACAGCATCCACATATGGACCAGATGTGTTTAGCTACATCTCTGAGCCTCACCCTTTGTCATTTGTCCATGGCTATGGTCTTTGCCATGACCATGCCATGTCAGTAACATGTTTACTTGGGCCTTTATACACTCAAATCTTCCTCTACTCCTCACAGGTAGACAAGCCCATGGGACATGTTTAGATTAATGATTGGTATGGGAACGTCTGGCCCATTGTGGATGATGCCACCCCTGGACAACTGGTCTTGAGAAGAACAAAAAAAGGGTAGCTGAGCACGAGCCTGGAGCCCAAGCAAATAAGCAGCATTCCTCCATGGCTTCTGCTTCAATTCCTTCCTCCACATTCTTTGCCTTGTGTTCCTGCCCTGACTCCCCTCATGAAGAACTATAAACTGTAAGATGAAAGATCCCCTTCCAACAAGTTTGTTAGTGTTTTATCATAGCAACCGAAACAAACTACAACACTCCCTGTGTCTCTTAGTTAACATTCCTAGGAGAAAGCCTGATGGATCAACGGGACTTCAGATCTTAGGTAGATTGCTGGATGTTCCCCTTTGTTCAGGAGCATGTGGCTGAAGAAAGGTGGAGGAATCGGACACAGCATTTTTTTCCCAGTCTGGATCTGTCTAGCACATTCTATAAAAATTTCCAGGTTTCATTATGCATTTGTATCATTTCCCAGAAGGATGGCAGTGATTTGCATACATTAAATATTCAGTGATATGTAAATATAGTCAACATTTATTCACATGGGAATATTGGGCTTTCTGTGGTCAGGGAGCAGGGATGTCAGCTGGAGAGATGGCTCAGGGGTTACGAATACTGCTATTGGCCAGACCTCCTCCCCCCCACCCCCAGAGTTCTCAGGAACTGGAGCACCAACCAAAGAGTACACATGGAGGGACCCTGGTCGCAGAGAATGGCCTTGTTGGACTTCAGTGGGAGGAGGGGCCCTTGGGTCTGAGGGTGTGTAATGCCCCAGTGTAGGGGAATGCTAGGGCTGGAAGACAGGAGTGGGTGGGTGGATGGGGGAGCACCCTCATAGACGTGGGAGAGGGGGGATGGGGTAGGGGATTTCTGAAGGGAGACCTGGAAAGGGGAAAACAATTGAAATGTGAATAAAAAATATATAATAATAATAATAATAATAATAATATTGCTCTTGCCGAGAAAACAAGTTCAGTTCCCAGCACCTCTATCTGGTGGCCTACAATTGTCTGGACTCCTTCATACACAGAGAGACTTAGGAAAACATCAAACCCTGGTAGTGGTGGCATACACCTTTAATCCCACCATTTGGGAGGCAGAGGCAGGAGAATCTCTGTGAGTTCGAGTCCAACCTGATTTACAGAGCTAGTTCCAGGATATCCCAGCTTACACAAAGAAACTCAGTCCTGAAAAAAACAAAGTTAATTAATTAATTAATTAATTAAAAGAAGAGAAAAATTACTTTTTTTGGTATTGCTGTTCATGTCAGTGCTCTCTCTACACAAAGGAGACATTGATTCTTTCAGGACTCAGTATCGTATTCTAATGTTGCCTTCTCCTGGACCTGCTCTGTCCTGCTGGCTCTCACTGGCCACTGCAGCTCCCTCATGTTTGTAGTTCTCTGTCTGTGGTGTCTCCAATATCCTTCATTCATCTTGCTCAACCTTCATCTTTCCTTTCTCAAGGCAAAGAAGTTGTCCCACACTCCAGCTTTACCGTGCCATGTAGTGTATACCTCTGGCCTTTGCTCTGTTGTTGTTTAGAGGTTTGTTCTTTCTATTGGACTATGAACATGTTCAGAGTAGGAAGCTCTGTCGTTCTTGTCACCCCAGAATACCTAGTAAAAGGATCACCATGGGGCCCCAAATAAGTTTTATGAAGGAAGTGTCTTCCATGGATACATATTTATTTTAGGTATTTCATGTGACTTTTAGGCAAGATAAAGAGCTCTGAGTGTGCAAACCCTAGTGACAGGCTTCTGTCAATTCTGTGACAGTTTCCTGACCAATGAGCAAAGAGCAGTGTAAATCTGCTGCACACCAATCAGCACAAATAATGAATAAAGACTTTGTTGAGAGGGATCCTGGTTAGAAAGCTGATAAACTCAATCCAAACTTCTTTTCTCGGAACTTTGAAGAATGATGAAGAGTAGTTTTGAAGATGAAGTCTTGGGTGTGAGTGTCCTTCTCTGCATGAGTTTACTTACATATAAAAATAGGGTACTTAAAGTACAGGTAATCTAGTAAATGAAATATTTTTTAACTCTAGAATTACATTAGTCTAGTGGTTCTATATCATAAGGGCTATCTATTATATAAACGAGTCTTGTGCAAATTTATCCCTAACCATTGGATTTAAAAAAACAACAACAAACAACAATACAACCAAACCCCTATCTGCCTACCTGTCTGCCTGTCTGTTTTACCAGTGTTCCATGCTTGAAAGTTCATCTGACTTCTAGTAGGGCATGTATAAATACATTTAGTGATCACTTCTACAGAGGTTCTGTTTCTTTAAGAGAACTACGACTGTTAATTCAGATCATTGAACCATATGAGGGTCAATAAAAGAATAAAATCCCTGGTTAGAGATTTGAGTACAAGGAACTTGATCCCAGTGTGTGTTTATGCACTGCTCACTGTAAGCAGGGGAGTGTCAGGTCCTTGGCTGCTCACTGCTTCTCAGGATGGCTTCTGGCAAAATAATCAAGCTGGTGGTTTTTGAGCTTCTTGAGTTTGCTGCCTTCTCGGTTCCTACCCTTGTGATAATGCAACAGTTTGCGACTGCCAATCCTCGAACAAAGGATGAAACGGCTCACTATTGGCTTATTGTTTCCTCTTCCATCGCCTATGTGGCTGTAGTGAGTCTCTTAATCTGGGTTCCGGTAAAGGTTGTCCTATACAAGAAACGACATCTTTACAAGAAAATTATAGGATGGTGAGTAGAGGGTCTCATTAGCAGGGAGCCCCTGCTGTGCTTTTACGCTTACATATGATGTGCACATGTGTGCTAAGCAAGTGACTTTAGCACAAGAGTGTACAAGATTAATAGCGACATTGTACTTAACTTCTGTAAACGTATTGATGTTGTGGTATCTTTTATATCTTTTATGTCAACGTATTGATGTTATGGCTTCATCTACATTTTCTACGATCATTTTTTCCCTAAATAATAAATGACATAAGTTAAGAAGGTATGTTGGTTTCAATATTGCCAGTAGTTTCTCAGTACACTAAAGTGCACAAAGTCTTTCAGAGTTGCTGTACACACATTGTAATCACAAGCTTAGAATGTAGAATTTCACTTTTATGCCAAACTGAAAGTAGCATCTTTTTTTAAGTGTTTGCATTGAACTTTGTTGGTCTAAGGCATGATTTGGTCATTCATTAACTTAGATGTTTTAGGCAACTTGATTACTAAGATTTAAAAAGAAAAGAATGCTTAAGTCATAAGTTCTGTTAACCCTTGCAGGTAATCCTATTAACCTTTGCAGGGAGAAAATATGTCTGTGATAATACAGAGAAGCACATTAGATAAAGATTTGACATTGCCACATGCCTGTAACTCCAGCAATCAGGAGGCTGAGGCAGGAGGATCCACGGGTTCTAGGTTAGCCTGGGCTACATAGTGAGATCTTAAAAAGAGTGAAAATAACTTCTTTTTTTCCCTCTCCCTCTCCCTTTCCTCCCGCTCTCTGTCCCTCTTCCTCCCTGTCCTTCTCCCTCTCCCTTTCCCCCTCCTCCTCCTTCTTCTTTTCCTCTTCTTCTTTTTCTTCTTCTTCTTCTTCCTCCTCTTCCTCCTCCTCTTCCCCTTCCTCCTCTCCTTCCCTCCTTCTCCTCCCCCTCTTCCTCCTCCTCTTCTTCCTCTTCCTCCTCCTCTTCTTCCTCCTCCTCCTCTTCTTCTTCTCCTCCTTCTCCTTCTTCTTCTTCTTCTTCCTTTTCTTCTTTTCCTTCTTCTTCCTTCTTCTCCTCCTTTGGCATTACCTGTCATCTTTGACCGATGAGCTAGAGAACAACCCCTGTTACTGTTGTATTTTTCCCTTTAGATCTGGTTCTCTCTCGTCAGGGATTTCTTTATTTTCTCTGATAAGTTAAATTCTTTTTGTTAGTGATCCTTTACTTCATGGGTAAGCAACATAGAGCAATTTGAACAGGAGATAGCTGAGCGTTGTAGTATAACTTAGGGTAGAAATGTAAAAGCTGTACATACAGTGGTAGTCATCCTGGGTAGGATGCTGACACACAGAGCTAAAGTATGGGTGGAGTTTACCAAGGGCTCCACAGGTACAATGCTGGAGGTAGCCAAGCTACTTTCTGTACCTTAAGGGCAAGGCTTCTAAGAAGTAAATCATTTTGTGGTTGGAATGAGGCAGAGACTGTTCAACCTTGGCTGAATCTCAGTATCACCAATAGGTGTCTTAGAGGGGAACCATATACCCCAAATTCCTTTGACTTTCCAGGACTGTTAGATGAGCAAAGGATTTTGGGGAGATAATGGGAGTTTCAAATGACAGTGATAGTAAAGGACAATACCCCACTGCAGTGCCCCTGCCCAAGGGTCTTGGTTTTGCTGGTTCATTTTTACATTGGCTCATATCTCCTGTACCTTATGTTCCAAATGTTATTCAGATGGCAAACTTTCCCATATAATTTATTATCAATATGGTGGGTATTAAGCTACAATGGTCTCTTCACAGATCCTGTGTACTGAGGGTGTTATACATGGATTTTTATCTTTTAATTGTGGGCCACTTCATACCTCAAAAAGTAGACCTCATGATGAGTGTGTCATTAGTATTCCCCCAAAGGAAACTGATACTCAGGAACACTTAGCAACTTTTCCAAGGTCAGTCTACTAAGTGATAGAACTGGGCTTTGGACTTTGGCCTGTTTCAACTCATGGTTCATACTCCAACTACCTTCCAAACTATCTCTGATGAACAAGGTCTCGGGTCTGTAGGCAACTGAGATTGAGTAGAAGAGAAGTCGTTGTTCCTAATCTTCAGGGTGTGGCAAATTCTTATCCTTTTTGGGATCTACTCAAACTTCATTTTTATATCGGTCCCAAGTAGTCCTTGTATCTAAGGGTCCCGGTTAGTTGCCAAAACTTCATCTTTCAGTATTTTCTTCTGGAGAACCCTCTCCCACACTTCAGTTTCTGTCTGTGGGTAAGGCTGGCTTTTGGTGCTATCAGTGTTTTTACATAGATGTCACTTTATCTGTAATTTCGATGAACTCTGTCACTATTTCCTCATAGGCTCATTCATGAACACTACCTTATAGTTACCTTCTAGGGTCATTACAGAGAGGAAACAGCTCATGAGAACAATTGTAGGCATTTTACACACTCAGCAAAGCTAAATTTAGACTTTATGGCAACATAATGAAGTTAGGTGTTGCTGCCTTCACATTATATCTGAAAACATAGAAACTTAAAATGATAACTTTGTCAAAAGACATGGCAAGCTTGTCATAGTTCTGGGATCTGTAAACCCAGGGCTTTCTCTGAACAATTCTGAACAATTTATATTTTATGAAATTTTTTCTTTTATTCTTTTTGACTTTGAAGGACAAACATAGTTTACTTTAGTGGCATTACAATGTATTTTGTTCAAAGATGTTCATCTCAGTAATACTCATAGATGATTGCCAATGATACTTTGTAGGATCTTGTTTGTTATTTGAACATATGGGAGGCAGCATAGTGACACATTACAACTTCAAAATTATTTTTGCATTTTCACAAGTTCAGTCATAACCAAGGTATTAAACTTTAATTGCTACATGAAGATAGCTAAAAAAAATAACTGTTAATATACATAGTAGGGATCATAAACATTGCTATTTTAATCTATTATTTATCATTGAGTAACTAGGTAGACAGTTGTTCATTTGAAGTTTCACAGATCCTTAAGTTCATAGGTTTGGTATTGATGAGACTGTTTAAAAGCATCCTGGGAAAGACCACATGAAAGACTCTATGATACTGAGATTTTTAGAGAGAGAGGTGCCAGAGAGCTAATCAAGAGTCTGTCCAAAGGACAGAAGGAAGAAAGAACAAACATGGACTCAAATCTCAGTTTTCACATTGGCTTATATGAGTTATTTATATTCTTTGAGCTTTAATTTTCTCAAGAACCAGAGATAATCTAGTTTTCATTTGGGAGCATTTGTTTAAAAACAAAAAGGCATAAGATTGTGCATCTGAAGTCACGAGAACAGTGCATTGAGGCTTTATATACATATCAGTGTTACTGACCTTCAGCTGAGCTGATTATTTCCATTTAAAATGTGAACTTGTTTAATCCTTAGAGTAGTCTTGAGAAATGGAATAAATCGGGCTAAAACCAAAGAAAAGCAGATGCAGACAGTGGTGCTCTTAGAATTTGTAGTATTTTGTAGGATCCCATTTGTCCTTTGAACATGAAAACCCATTACATCCTCAGAAGTTACTTTTGCATTTATACAAGTGCTTTGGGTTTCCTTTTCTCTGTGACCTACTGGACAGCACTGTGAATTGACCAGGTGGCCATAATCCTCCTTTTAAGAAGAGGAAGCGTGTCATGGAGCTGAAGACATACACTAAGTCAACAGAAGAGACTGAACTTTCACTTGTACCAAACACTTCCTCGTTCCTTTAGACTTGTCCTTTCTTGATTGCCTGTTATCATTTCTGTGGATTAGGGAGAGGCACAGTAGAATAAAGAAAAGCTACTTAAGTAAATAACTAAGTGTATATGCCAATCCATGAGAGAGACCCTTTTCTGAATGTTCAGAAGGTTCACTGGGGACTGGACATCTCTGGAGGATACGTGGTATGCCCAGACTGCCACAGGACCCAGAGCTGTCTCAGGAATTCTCTCTAATCCTTTTCAGAATATGACTATTTCAAACTATGATGTGTCAGGAATTTGTGGCAGTGTGAAGTTTGGAAGACCATATTTTGAGTGACATTCTAGATTGTTGTGGTTTTGCTTTCGCTTTTGCTTTGTATCAGGTTATGGTCATGACAGTGGAATAAGAACAAATATTTGTTGATCACCTCCAATGTACCATGCATACTTCTGAACATATTATCTATCTATGTGTAACCCTAGCTGTCCTGAAACTTGTTCTATAGACGAGGCTGGCCTCGAGCTCACAAAGATCTGTCTGCCTGTGCTGGAGGGTATTGAGATTAAAGTTCTGTGCCTCCACCACCCAACATCTGTATCCCTCTTGAATAAATGTATCTGTACATCAACTTTGTCCCTTAAAATTCAACTTGATGGCTGGAAGAAATCCCAGAGCTCAGTGTCTTGTGCAAGATAGATAGATCATCTGCCTCTTGTTTTTCTTTCTTTAAAACATGGAGCTTAGTATGTTTTTTTTTTTTTTTGGTTTTAATTATCAGATTGATCTTCCTTATTTATCAGACAAAACTTGCCACTGTGTGGCTGCCCTCCAATCCTCTTTCGAGACTTTACCTCCCTTTATATATCAGTGAGCTTGTCCATGGCCAGGATTTCTTCTTATCACTCCCCCAACCCCCGTCTCTGTCATTCCTTAAGCACATTATTCATTGTCAAAACTATAAGCTGCCATTTCTGAGATGTCTCTCCAGGGTGACTTCTCCTAGCACACTGTTTCTGTCCCAAAGTCTCTCAGACAAATGAACATAGTCAGATCACCCCATTGGGCTCAGACATAACCCAAGCCATTCTGGTTTTGTTGTTTGTTTGTTTGTTTGTTTTTTGGGTTATTTGTTTGTTTGTTTTCAATTTGCAGAATCCCACCAGTTCTCCACGTCCCGTGGTTCCTGAGTTTTATACAGTTTTAGAAGTCTCCTTGGATGCTAGCTGGCTTTCTAATGTTCAGATACCATATCTTGATATCCTTTTGCTTCAAAATACTGACTTCAACCATCAATTCAACACCATTGGCTCCATTTGCAGTCAT